TCGACTTGTCTCCCTGTACAACATGTGAGACAGACGCAAGCTTAGCTAATGATCAAAGATTTTGTATTTCAAAGTCTAAGGCTTTGTATGCCATATGCACATACATTTTATAAACTCAATCAATGCTTAAAATTATTATTGAATTAAGTTTTTTCAGCATATACAATATAATATGCATATATTGATTTATACATAATAATTTATAGCAATTATTTGAATAATTATTTTAGCAGGCATTTAGTATCAGTAATTACAAATTACACTCCAAGCTTCTTCTACACAGCTTTTTAATAGATTAAAAAACAACTAAAAAAAAATCTAAATTATTATTTACAAAAAAGCTATGCTTAAATACTTTACGAAAACTTTGTAAACATGAGGAACTCGAGGAACTTCAAATGAGCCAAAAGTTGTTCAATACTGAATTCATAAGCTGCCTGGAATATGTATAAGAGATTGCTGTGAAATAATAAGTTTTAATTAAAATTTAATTTAATTTATTCAATAATTCTAAGCAATAAGGGCTTAAGAAATATTTATAAATTAGACACTACCAAAACGATCATCATTATTGAAATATATATATCTATCGATATAGCAATATTCTTGGAATACCTTCTACACATATACACATAGTAACAGTAAAACACAGACAGTGAAAGACATTTGTATAGAGTAAGGCATTTGGTTCTGGCTATTTCCAACAGGTAAACCCATAATACGCAGTGTAACTTTTTATTCGAAAGTACGACGCTTAGAAATGATCGGACTAATAAGCGACTTCCGAAAGTGTGATAAAACTAATTTATGAAGGTTTCAAACGAGGTACTTCCTCAATCACTCAGCTCTAAATGGTCTTCAGAGGCGCATTCGCGACTCACTTTATGTGGCCAGCGCCAGGGCCCGTAAAGAGGGCACAGACTGCAGTTGGTTAGTCAAGTTAGGCACGTTGTTGTTAGGGCTCGTAAGTGAAGTACGCCGAGTTGGCACGTTGCCAGTTGCTGGCGATCTATCAGAAGATATGCTAAAAGCCCAGTGAGCACTTGAGGTCCAAATAGCCGCCACTGCCCTCTGCCTCTCTGAGCAGTGCTTCAGTTTAGCTCGGGTCTTTCGCAGGCAAACAGTCGGCTTAATGACACTCGTCTCCAGCTGCTTGTCGGTGTTAATTTGCAGTCATTAGCCAAGTTCTTTTTCACAGCTGAAGCTGAAGCTGAAGCTGGAGAGGCAGGCGTAGTCGGGGACACCATAGACTCAATCAATTTGTGTCTCTTTTAAGAGTCTGGCATTTTTCTTGACGCAGTAAAAGACTTTCCAAAGCCTTCGTCTCACAATAGGCCTTTGTTAGCGCCCAAATTGCACTTGACGCTGACTCCTGGGCTAACGATGCGTGCGCAGCGAGACGAGCTGCAGCTGAAGGTGTCGAGTATAAATGCTAATTCATTTGCACTTTGGCTCACGACAATTGATTTATTTATGCGGAAACACAAGCGTGTGGACTCTACACAATAATTAATGATGGACGCACTCAGAGGTGAATGCCCAATATGGGTCACACACGCTCTTCGAATCCCTCCATGGCCCTGCTTCGCATTGAGTAACGCTTTGTAGTCTGTTTCAGTGCCACGCCCCCTCGCGAGTAACCCAATTTTCAATGGCAAGTGGCGTGCGAATCGAGCCCGAGCTACTCGCACTGGCAAACACCTGTTCAGCTGGCCAACAAATTTCACTTATTGCCAATTTGCTGCCAATGAAATAAAATACTTTGTATGCGCACTTTGCCGATAGCCGATAGCCGATAGCCAACCTCAGCCCGATCCAAGGCCTGCACCATGCCCAGGCAGCAAACTCTCGACTCTCGAGTCTCGACTCTCGACTCGAACAGCAGCCGGTCGGGCAGTGCAATAAATAAATTGCAGAATTTATTTGGCAGCACTTATGCGTCGCTTTTTTTCATCGAATGCATTTTCTACTGTGATTTATTTGCATGGCCATCGAGGCCAACGCACGCGCGAGGGGTACATCCAAAATCGGGCGGGCTCTGCCTCCTATACCAGACTACCAAACAGTCAGAGATGCTGTCCGAGCTAGAGACTCTTGCTAACTGTTAGCTGCGACCAGAGACTGGAGCTGTCGGGCTTAACTTGTGATAAGTCAGTCGACTTTGACCTAGTCAAGCATTAGCTCAATGCTGGTATTTAGTTTATATGAAAGATTAGCATCTTCTGCTCTTATTCCATACTAATAGAAATACTGAAATATAGTTATTTGGAAACTAGATTAGCATTTCTAGTCTTACTCCATTAGTCGTCTTTATCTAGAAGTTACAGGCGCACTCATCGAAGCATATTTTTAGTTTTTGCTAAGGGAATTACCCCCTATTATCAACAGACTTATATATAATATATACACTGCTCGTTATCGGGTTTACGGCTCTCTTTTAATCATTTGTTTTTTTTTTTTTAATTACTCATTGGAAATGTCTAGGAATGACTGGCCAAGAAGTTGTACGCGTAGCAAAGAATATGCAAAAACAAAGTTCATTGAAGGCATCAAACGAGCTTGGTTCACGATTTCATTAATTTGCTTTCAAATAAAGAAGAAATACAACTATATGCAAACAGATACATGAGCAAATTTTTTTATTGTAAACAGCATTTAAAAAAATATATATATATAAATATATATTAAATAAATTCTTTTTTTTAAATATAACCATATGAATCCTGATATTCTGTTGACCAAATTTTCAGTTCTTTTTATACCTTTATTTTATTTTTTATTTTAAAAAGATTTTCTGACAACTGACACTGTATGAATATTGTATTATTATATCAGTTGAATGGTTTAGATAGAACTCAATATGAGTGAAGTATAAAGAGTAAACGCTAACCTGATGATCCACAATGTGCAATGACATTCTACAAAATACAAAGCTTATTAAAAATCATTAAAGCTTTATCTTTTATTCACTCAGAAATCTGTTCTTATGTCTCCTCTATAAATACTATTCCCCTGATGTAGCAGTCACAGTCACCGACTCATCCATTCGGTTGGCTAGCTGTATAGGTATTATTGGCAAATCAGACAACTCTCTTCCTCTTCTGTTCTATAATGTTTATAAGGCATTCAAAGTTTATGTATATACATATACATCATATATTTAGCTGCTATTCTATAAGTTTTCTGTAGCTATTGCCAACGCTAGATCAGCTACTTAATCACTGTTTAGCCGCTAAGCCGTGACTGGAATATCGTGATATGGGAGCAACGCTAGCAGTGGGCAAAATTCGCACTTGCTTCCAGCTGCTTTTCCGCGAATCTGTCTATTTGGCTGCCTGGTGCGTCGGCCTTTCAGGCATCTTCAATTGATTTTTGAATTTATCAAACAGGAAGCATCAGCGAGGATGCTGCAGCCGCAGAACTTGTTGCCGTCGCAGTTACCAATTGAGTTAGTCTTCATTTAACGGCATTCGGTTGCCGCGATCGTTAAACAAAGCTGAACGCTGCTGGGTTTTCTCATATAAATATTAAAGTGTTTATGAATGTTTTGCTTAAGGTGTTAACTTCTGTACTTCCTTGACAACTATTTGAATTTTTGCCTAAAGAGATCTTCTTGTAATTCAAATATACCTATTTGGGTACAATTGTCTAGAGAGAGGTGGAAGACGGGTTAAATAATCTGCGACCTTAGTTGAATCAATTAAAAAATTCTGGCCAACAATTTCGATTAGTAAAATTGAAAAACGTTTCAATTGTTTAACAATATTTTTATAGTAGACGTTATAATGAATTAATAAATATAAAATATTGAAGAATTAGTTTCGTTTATTGTTGAAGTTTTCCAGTGCCTTGAAATTTTGTCATTTATAATTTTTCTAAATAGTTTAAGTTATAGTTTCAGATGCTCAAATTAAAATTAAATTATAAACTTTTTATTTATTATATTATTATATTATTAGATTAATATATTAATTATTAATATATTATTATTATATTAGAATTAAGAATAATAAAGAAATCATTCACTCAAAAGTGTGACTACATTACTTTCATAATTGAACATTACGTGACTGTAATTCGAATGCTTAGATTATTTTGAATCTTGTTTTCTTTTAGAAAGTTGAAATATTTCCGATTCGTAGCACATTTATTAAATATTTGATGTGAAAGCATCGAAAGTCTATAAATAAAATATAATATATTTACAAAATGTATTCAATAAATTTATATTACAAATATTAATATAATATTTAATTATAATTAAGTTGTTTGAATTCGGATAAATCAATACATCAAATACAAAAGCTCAACAACATTGTATACTTGTAAATATAGTTATATATACTTATAGTTTTTAATGCAGTTTTGTTTCTTTCCAATTAATCTATTTAATTTATTCAAAAATCAGTTTTTGAAAGAATCCGAAATTAGCAGTTGCTGACTCGAGTGATGTCTTTACTTACAATAAAATTCAAAGTCAAACGACTTAAAGTCGGCTCGTAAGCTTTGTGTTTTGGCTAGTATAGGTTTGCGTCTTTGCTGAAGCTTTTAAAAGCAAATGCGTTCACGAGAACAAACCGTGCGCAGCATGAAGTTGGCTGCATGCGCAGCATTTTGCTCCATACTTTTAGGCGCAGTTTTAAAAATGCCTTCAAGTTGACACCACACAAAAGCTGACTGCTACAAAACAGCTGCATATGTTCAGCTCGAAAGTATGCTACACTATTTATTAAAGAAAATATATGTTGGATTAGAAAAGTGTTTATAGGAAATGAAGGAAAATGAATTGAATGAACTTAAGGGAATTGTATTAGTATGAAATTAAAGATGAATTATGAAATATGGAAAATACAGTTGCTCAATAAGTTCTAATTGCTATTACTCAGCCTTGGAACAAATAGTATTTCTGGAGATATCACAGTTTGTTTCAGAATATTCGCCTGAATATAGCATCATATTGTGTGTTTTTGAATAAGTTGTGGCTTTCTGTCATCTGCTTTTGTATTATGTAGTCAAAAATAAGTTTTTATTAATAAATGCCAACAGAATCAGAGCATTGGACACAACAAAGAAGAGATAAGCAGTTCAGTTAATTAAATAGATAAAAAAAAGTGAAATAAAATACTTTGAAGTAGGTTAAGCAAATGCACAATTCGAAAGCTCAGTGATAAAATAGAGGCCGAAACGTTGAGTAAATATGTTCGACTTGGCAGGCAAACACATCTGCTATGTGGCCGACTGTGGAGGCATCTCGCTGGAGGCCTGCAAAGTGCTGATGAGCAAGAATATTGCAGTAAGGATTAGAGATTCGAAATACACGTGATTTCTATATTGATTTAAATCCTCGCAGAAACTGGCCATCCTGCACAGCGTGGAGAACCCGCAGGCCATTGCCCAGTTGCAATCGATCAAGCACAGCACACAGATCTTCTTCTGGACCTATGATGTTACAATGGCGCGGGAGGACATGAAGCAGTACTTCGACGAGGTCATGGTCCAAATGGACTACATCGATGTGCTCATCAATGGGGCGACCCTCTGCGACGAGCAGGACATTGATGCCACGATCAGCACAAACCTGACAGGCATGATGAACACTTGTGCCACGGTGCTGCCCTACATGGACAAGCAGCAGTTGGGCAAGGGCGGAGTGATTGTGAATATGACCTCGGTTGTCGGGCTGGATCCCTCGCCCGTTTTCTGTGCCTACAGCGCATCCAAATTCGGCGTGATTGGCTTCACCAGAAGTCTAGCGGCAAGTGCTTTCCCTTTTTAGTATTTGTGCATCGAATACAACTATTTCTCTGCATAGGACCCTTTGTACTACTCCCAAAACGGAGTCGCTGTGATGGCCGTGTGCTGTGGGCCCACCAAGCTTTTCGTAGATCGGGAGCTCACTGCCTTTCTCAGCTATGGCCAGTCCTTCGCCGATCGTCTGCGCACGGCTCCTTGCCAATCGCCGACTGTCTGTGCCAAGAACATTGTCAAGGCCATCGAGTGCGGCGACAATGGACAGATTTGGATAGCGGACAAGGGGGGCCTTGAGCTGGTCAAGCTGCATTGGTATTGGCACATGGCCGATCAGTTGCTCCACTACATGCAGCGGCCCAACGAGGACGAGGATGAAAATGATTAGACATACAGATCAACAGATAAATACCACTTAAGAACAAAGATAGAAAGACGCTTGACGATGTGGTAAGATCCAAAGATTCACTTCATTAAAATATATTAACTATAGCTTCGATTCCTCCAGCGACTTAAGCAGACATTCACTACAACAGTTATTTATAAATAGTTTTTGTTTTAATTGCAACAAATATATAAAATTGGCAATAAACCTTTTCGTCATCAAATGAATATATGAATTATTATAAGTTAAGCCCGTATTGAGATATGCATACGCATGTATTATGCGTAGAATAGTTCGAAAATCTTGTTGGGCTCACGGTATCTCCTAGTCAAGCAATCTCGACTAGAGTACTCACATATGTTCTTTTTTCAGCTTTTGCTTATCTGCCTACAAATCATTAAATATAGAGGAATGGATAGAAAAGTTTATATAAAGACAAATGTGATCGTATTAATCGTTTAAATACCCTTTTATTTTATTTTTGTGGATAAAACAGTTGTTAGCTTATTGCCTCTGGTATTTTTAAGTTGTATCATATATCGCATGAATAGAATTCACATATTATGTTAACAGGATATTAGAGTTTTAATCAAATGTATATACCATGTTCTGAATAGCGCCTGGTCGGCTAGAGTATTCGCTATAAAATTTTCTATTAATAGTCAAGTAAAATATGCCATCTTCCACTGTTTGCAGTCAACTTTCCACTGATGTACCTAAATTTTTTCTTCCACACAATTGTTACAAATTATCTCAGTCATCGGCAAGAATTTGAACGAATAGTTTAATGTGGATTGTAAAATCCCATTGCTTCAATGAAGAGCTATAAGTACCTCATGCAGGGTGTGTGTCTCCACTAAAATTTCTCAGCTGGTTTGTATCTGAGATAGTGCACACTTGCAGCCAACTTCACGTGCTAGATCCGGTTTAAATGGGGCTTCCCATTTACAATTATTCGTGCGCAAATTGAAGTTGGCTGCGCGCAAAATATTGTCTCGCGTGAAGTTGGGCTCGGCATTGTGTATCGTGTGTAAGGAACTGAAATTAATAGTCAAATATAAATATGCTGATATAAATATTATATAAATATGTTTTATATGAAATATATATGAAAGGCTACTTAAGTAGTTTTTTGCAAAACTTTAATGAAAACATAGTTGAGGATTAACTTAAGCCGAATTAACTTTCAAGTCATATTTAAATTTGAATTTTTATACATATGATGGCTAATTTATTACTTTTAGTGTAGTTAGAAATGATATATATCGGGATATAGTCATGAATATTGAATACTTATTTATAATTTGTGTAGAGTATAATAATTTCGTGAACTATTTTGTATTTAGTAGAAGTCATAATCCATCCAGGAAGTGTATATATTTTAATTATGTAAATCTGCATAAGGCCTTAAAAACTTGAAAACAGATCATTTTTAAATATGTACTGAGTCCTTTAAGTCCACATTTGCGTTAAACCATCGATAACTTTCTTTTTGGTGGTCTCTCCCAAATTATACTCAAATATTCTATTTGGATACATTATTCATTGGGCATACAGTTGCTAACCTAAGCACTATTGCTAAGGTTTAAGTAGGGCATACGAAACCTTCAGCTGCATCCTTTAGGATAACTTACAGTAGCTGTATTTACTTTAGAGTATTTTTGTTGTTATGAAGAATATTTCAGCAAATTCATAAGCTGAAGTTTTTTTATTTATCAGCTGGAACTCTAGTCATTATACAATGCGATGCATATTAAAAATCATAAGAGTCTTATCGTTCGGCAATTTGTGGACTGCTCCATTTCTCAAATATTTACGAATGCCACAGCTTCTGCCACACCCACTAGCATGTCATTCAACGCCATCAAGGTGGGCGAGGCGCTGCCCTTGCGGCTGTCTTCGTTTACGTGCCGTCTGACGTTGACATTGATGCGGCTGTTGGAGGAGCCATTCGCCATGTGTGAGCGACATGGGTCTTTGCTTATCCAAAGAGCAAAAAGTAAATGATAAACGACTTTACAAGTGACTTGCAACAAAATGAGGCAACGCGGCAAGGATCAAATCTTGCCAACGTAAAACACTTGGCGACCCGACCAACAAATTAGTCTTGGCAAACAAGGATATGAACAGAATCTGTGTATTATACTCTCTCTCTCTCTCTATGTCTCTTATATATATATACACACGTGTGTGGGCCTTGAAATTAATGATTAAAATTGCCTGATAGATGGAAGATGGGCGACTCAGCTCGACGGCTGTCAAGACATTAGGCAGCATTCGCTGTGCCCATTTTCACCTGCAGCTGCAGCCATTTTTCAACACTGCTCAAAGTGGGAGCCGCGGGAACGATGGGGCCTGGCTGACAGGGGGCACATCCGTTAATTGCAGGCAAACGTCAAAAGTCGTCGTCTGTCAGCTGTGCCAAGCCAAAGCCAAGCCAAAGCTTTGGCGTCCATGTCAGTAGATGTCAAGTTGCAAAGTATACGAGTATATATAAGTTAACACATAACATTTAATATAGGGTATTTCATAAGTTTATAATCAACCCTCGCTATCGCGTGTTTCGTAAGTTAAGAAACAGCCCTCGCAATTGCGACACTGCATACTTTGTATCAGCGCGCTATAACTGCAATGGTCAGCGGCGGTAACCAGATACTTTTGTTTACTGCAAGAGTTTCCGTTATTGCCTAAGATTGCTGAGTCGGCTTGCCGACCATGACATTGTGGTGTGATGCGAGTTTTGGCTTAGCTTAAGTGAAATATTCTATGTAGCTAAAAATCAGTTTTGCATTGAAGTTTGAAGAATAAACCCGCACTACTCCGGCACACCGCCGTAATCAAATTGTTATATTTCTGATCATTGCTGAGCCACAAGGCCAGTTAATAGAAAAGGGGGTGAAGTCAAACCCTCCAACATAATCATCATAAGAAGATTATAATTACCCGACCAACGCTGGACCTGCCACCGACGCCTAGCTCATCGCTGGACCAGCAACTTATTGATTAAGACTATAAATACCCGATCAACGCTGGACCTGCCACCGACGCCTAGTTCATCGCTGGACCAGCAACATATTAATTGGCGCCCAACGTAAAAAAAAAAAAAAAAAAAAAAAAAAAAAAAAAAAAAAAAAAAAAAAAAATTTTTTTTTTTTTTGGAATTTAAATCATGTAAGTGGATACTCCAGCCAACATTTTTTTTCAAACACAAAATTTCTTAAATTTACTTTATAAAAAATTTGTTAGTACTAGTGAGTATTTCGTATTGCAACAGATTAGATTATAATAATCAGAACCAAGTTTCTGAAATACGTGAGAGTGGCTGCTCTGAGAATTTAGGCTGATAAAAATACTTAGTGTTACTTTCTATGTGTCTAATTCGACCCATCTTTTGACGGCCCGTTTAATTTTTCGCGGCCACTGGCCTGCGCATGCCACGGTTCAGCCAATATAGAAGCCCTCGCGAGCAATCTAGCGACTCAGATTCCGACTGTGACACTCGTATCAGAGTTCCGTCTACAAGACTTATACCGGCAGTTCCTCCACCATCAGATAGAATGGATCCAGATCAGCTTAGGGAAGTAGTAAGAACGGCCATCAGCAATGCCTTAGCCGAACAGGCCGCTGCAAACCAGCAGAGGGAGCAAGCATTGACTCAAAGAATTAATGAGTTAGCTAAACAAATAGCAGCAACAAGCTTTGCCACCCCACAAGTAGTAGCATATTCTGCTATAGAAATTAGAAACGATATTCACTGTGACGAGCCGCTAGATGCCGTCAAGTGCTTACCTGAGTTCGCAGGAGCACAGGAATCTTATGTATCTTGGAGGCAGGCAGCATTAGCCGCTTACGAGATCTTCAGACCACATAATGGCAGTTCTCGTCATTATCAGGCTGTCATCATTATAAGAAGCAAGATTAGGGGCCCCGCAGACGCGGTGCTGGCCTCATTTGGTACTGTACTGAATTTTGATGCGATAATAAATCGCCTAGATTTCACATACAGTGACAAGAGACCAATTCATGTCATTGAACAGGAATTAGGTACCTTGAGGCAAGGTGGCCTGTCCCTGCTTCAATATTACGATGAGGTGGAGAAGAAACTCGCTCTTCTCACTAACAAAGTTAACATGTCATATGAGCCGGCTTTAGCAAAGGGCCTATGTGAAAAATTCCGCGACGATGCGTTGCGTGTGTTCATATCGGGTCTCAAGCGCAGTCTTACAGACGTGCTCTTTGCAGCAAAGCCCAGAGATTTGCCTTCAGCACTAGCTCTCGCACAAGAAGTCGAGTCAAACCATGAAAGGTACGCATTCGCGGCTAACTTCGCAAAAAGTCTAGAAGACAAAGAGCGCAAGCCGCATGCAAAAGCACAGGGTCACCAACAGGAGAGGCATTCGCAACAAGCCGAAACACAAGCTAGCGGTACAAAGAATCCGCACTTTAGCAAGCAAAGCAGGGCCCCAGTGCAGTCTGACCAACGAAGCAGCAGGCAGCACAATAATAATGGCGCACCGGTGCCCATGGAGGTCGATCCTTCCTTCTCAAGGGTCTTGCAGCCCACTCAGGCCCCTGCTTACGCGAATAGGAAGCACCCCGCATCTGACCGCACAAGCGGTCAGAGGAATCAGCAGAGGCTGAATCACGTCACACAAGACGTGGGACAGGGGGCAGAGGCGTATGCTGATGCCGCCTCTAGCGCAGCGGCACAAATCAATGACGATAGTTATGACTCTGAAGCCCTCAATTTTTTAGGAGCAAATCCCTGCTACCCGTCATCAGACGAAGAGTAGCAGGGACTGACATGCGATTCCTCATAGACACGGGCGCGGCCAAGAATTTCATTCGGCCACACGAGGGGTTGAAAGGCGTCCGCTCGGTAGAGTCCCCCTTTAAAATTCATTCCATTCACGGCGAGACACAAATCACACACAAATGCTTTGTTTCAATGTTTGGGTTAAAGGCAACCTTTTTTATTCTGCCGGACTTATCAACTTTTGATGGGATTGTAGGCCTTGACCTGCTAAAGCAGGCAGCTGCTTCGCTTTGTCTAGCTTCAGGACAACTTAAGTGGGGTACGGAGGTCGAACAAATCACCTTCCACACGTGCAAAAATGTAAATTTCACGAATGTAGACTGTGCAGAGGCATCCCCTTTAGCTAGAAGTTCTTTTTTGAAAATGCTA